ATGAATGAAATAACGAATGAAAGAATTATTGAAAGATTGAAGGACAGAATGGATGGAGGAAAGAAGAGACGATGAAACAATAAATAAAGGAATGAACGAAACAATGATTGAAAGACTGAATAAAGGAATAAATGAAAGAATGTATAAAGGATTGAATGAATGAACGCTTGCATGGAAGAAAGAATGATTGAGGGAATGTATGAAAGAAAATAATGAATGAAGGAAAGAATTAATGAAGGAGAGAATGAACGAAGGGACTAAAGAAATAATGAAGGAATGAGAGAAAGAACGAATCAAGACCACTAATTAACCAGAAGTTGTTGAAATTTGATCCTTTAAAATTTTTTGTGGGGGATAAACGGATAAATTTTGATTATCGATTTCGCATGCTTACGATAAGTTTGAAGCATTTGTAAGATTTCAGAAGATTCGGTTTTGTAGCAAAAAATCATTTATAAGAAATTTGTTTTCATTGAATAGATGATGCAACGAATGTAATAATGTAAGAATGAATGAAGGAATGAAAGAATGTGTGAAGGAATGAATGAAAGAATCAAAGAATGTATGAAAGAATGAATGAAATAACGAATGAAAGAATTAATGAAAGATCGAACGACAGAATGGATGGAGGAAAGAAGAGAGAAAGAGAGGATGAAAGAATGAACGAAGGAATGAACGAAAGAACGAATGACTGAAAGAATGATTGGAAGACTGAATAAAGCAATAAATGAAAGAATGTATGAAGGAATGAACGATTGCATGAAAGAAAGGATGATTGAGAGAATGTATAAAAGAAAATGAATGAAGGAAAGAATGTATGAAAGATCAAGGAAAGAATTAATGAAGGGGAGAATGTATGAAAGAGGAAGGAAAGAATTAATGAAGGGGAGAATGCACGAAAGGACTAAAGAAATCAAGGAATTAAAGAAAGAACGAATCAAGATCACTAATTAACCAGAATTTGTCGAAATTGATTCTTTAAAACTTCATGTTTGTTTAAAAATTTTTGAGATGACGTCATCAAATTTTTGTGGGGGATAAACGGATAAATTTTGATCAACGATTTCGCGTGCTTAAGATAAGTTTGAAGTGTTTGTAAGATTTCAGAACATTGTTTTTTAGAAAAAAATCATTTAAGAAAATGTTTTCATTGAATCGACGATGTAATGAATGCAAGAATATAAGAATGAATGAAAGAACGAATGAAAGACTGAAAAAAGGAATGAGCGAAGGACTAAATGAATGCATGAAGGAATGAATGAATGAGCAATTGCATGAAATAAAGAATGATTGATAGAATGTATGAAAGAAAATAATGAATGAAAGTGTGAATGTATGAAAGATGAAGGAAAGACTTAATGAAGGAGAACAAGAGCGAAAGGACTAAAGAAATAAAGAGGGAATGAAAGAATGAACGAATCAGGGCCACTAATTAACCAGAACTTGTGGAAATTGATTCTTTAAAACTTCATGTATGTTCAAAAAATATAAAATGTCATTGGGTTTTACAATATAAAAAAGAAAAATAGGCGAAAACGGAAAAAAGAGTAATAAAAATAGAAATAAAAATTACACTTTTTCTAAGAATATGAAGAGATAGAAGAAATGAGAATTACACATAAGCCAAGAAAAAGATCACGCTTATGCCATATAGTATGAAATGAACATGACAGAGAAGAAGTGGAAGGCGATTTTAATAGAAAAATGCAAGAGATAAATGTGGGGAAAACAAAAAAAGGACGAAGATTAAAGCAAAAATAAGGAGACAGACAAACCAAATTCAGAAAATTAAATAAGGAAGCACAAAAATTAATACAAACGATATAAATAGGGAAGAATATTGTACCACATGTTTGGAAAAAAAATCGCTAGTAGACCATAATGGTGTATAATATATGTATACTCAGGAACTGCAGTCGTACAATTTAAAGACAAGAAATTATGAAGTTATAAGAAAATAAGTCATTATTAAATGTCCGAAAGAGTCTATAATAGAAAAATGGAATAAGAACAGAAGAAGATGATAGATAGACGGAGAAAGAGAGAGAAACAGCAAGACAAGAGAGAATTTATGTGAGAACACACAGTAAATTCATCATGAAAAGCAAAGGTATATAGATACCAACAGTGTCTTCTAGCGAAGAATCGTAAAATATGAAATACAATGAAATGCTTAAGGCTGTTGCTACACAGGAATCGGTAAGAAATAACGCCAATAACGAAAACTAAGGCTTGTAAAATTTAAGGAAAAAATTAGTTGCGGTTTTATTATAAATTGTTTCTTTATACTTTTTCATGATTTTGTTTAGATAGCGTTATTTTTGGGAATAAAAGTAAATGAATCGGTCTTAATATGTGCCTAGAATTTAACACTCTAACTTACAAAATTATTTAACTTCAGAAAAACTTCTTTTACTATATAAATTTTGCTTTCTTCTCTTTTCACATTGCACAAATCAGTGCAAGGCATTGTATCAACAGCCTTAAGGGGAGAAATTGAGGAGAGAGAACAAACATAGAATGAGAGAATATAACAAGCTAGAAAAGACGAACAAATGTGAAATGTATTACCAACTTATTACACGAGATTAGAGTAGGTCCACCGCGCGACTAGCTACTTTCATGTTTTTTCGACGTTTGCTGACCCCCAGAATATGAAAAAAGTGGTCCCTCGTTTCCGTCTGTCTGCCGTCTATCGTCTGTGTCGATTTTTATTAGATAGATAAATCTCCGAAACTACTAGACCGATTGTCGTAAAATTTAAAAAAATATTGTTGAATTAAGGTTATCCAACTTTGAAATAATATACTCCTGTACTTGGGGTTTATGAATCTACCTTGATTTTAGATTGATTTAGATTCGAAGGCAACATACAGTGAAAACAATGACACAGCTGAGTGTGTTATTACCACCAACTCTAATTTATTTTTTTTGATTACGTTCGATCTGTAGTACAATAAAATATACGTATTACAAAAATAACTCGTAATCCCTTAATGAATTACCTCTTATCATTTCGCTCTTACTTATCTGGAAGTTCAATATGTCGGATAAACGTTTGCAAAGTCAATATCCACAGATTTGGAATTTACTGATAAGTGCGAGTAAACAGAAATAGAATTTCAACAATTATTATCCTAGGATTTTTTCCGCGTAAATTTAGCGTATCATATTTACGTAAACGTTACGAGAACGGAACACACAACATTGATTAAACTCTACAATTTTTGTCGTGCATTCAGTGTTAGATTGAATTTTAAATTATATAAAAAATTCAAAACAAAAATTGTGCTCGTTCACCAACTCATAATTTATTCGCGAATGTTTTTTTTGTGATCGCCATTGTTTTTAATTAAACGTTGCGCCACTTCCTAACGGGAATCCACCCAATTTGCTTTAATTTAAAAATATATGTACAAAAAACGGATAAGTATTACGCCCGCTTTCATATTCCAGAGCAAAGCCGCCATTATTACGGAACACACAGCCGAAATTATATGTTTTTGCTTAGAATAGAGTTGGTAACTGCCTCGGTAACTACTGTTCATCTAGCCTAATAATACGAATCAAGATACGAAACAAGGAGTAACAATAATCATCCAAACGAAATTAGAACGATGATTACTAAGTGATACGGTATGCATTTTTTATGCGAACACAATGTAGGTTTGTAGAAAATAATGATGGTGCAGTTTCGAGGAATACCGTTAGAATGGGTTATAAAAATCTGATACTAAATCAGAGGTTCAATGATACGAGATAACGAAAGCTGGATGATGAATAGGTGATGAATGAGCCAATAAAAGGATTAATGTAGTGATTATGGTCGGGAGTTGAATATTTTGACTAGTTTGACCCTTGTAGTCATCGTAGCAATAAAACCCACACAGAAATGATGTTAACGAAGTGGAATTTTTTTATTAAAACGGTTGCAGTCAGTGCAATGATACCGACAGATAAAAGCAATCAATCATTTTTGCCTGTAGTTTAGTCGAGTGGTTCGTATATTTATTTTAATTTTGTCGAGTGTAATGAATTGAAAATTTCTAGACCTCATTGTAGTTGGCATAAATTTTAATGAGTACGTGCTTTGTACCCTCTGATTTTAAGGCGCTTGTGTGAATTATCCCAAGACTAAACTTCGCATGTTATAAATATTTAACGAAATTAATTTTTTCGAAAAGTGGGAGAACCCTTAATAATAAAAAATAAATTATTCAAATGGAATGTTGACAAAAACGTGTTTTTTATTAATAGCGCAGAATTTCATTTGTAAGGTAAGAGACAATTTACCCTCATCTCGCGTGATGGACGAAAATTATTTCAATTGTGTTTTATTACATTCTCTATTAAACTAATTTCGCCGAGCACGAATCCACCTAACTTTTAAAAGCTGTCGTCGATGGGTACAGTTTTTGATGGAAATAAAAATCCGGACGACACGTTTTTCAGTTATTATTTATCGCGAAAAGTGCGATGTATGGGTTTCGTTTTCCTCCTGAATTATTTATGTATTTAAATTCAATTCGAGTTTTATGAATTTGATATAATTCCGGATGGGCGGAGATGATGGTAATGAGTTTTGGGATTGATCATAGAACTTGACAAGCCGAGCTGAAACGGGATTAGCTAAATTTGGCTGACATGTGTCGCGTCGTATCGAAGGGTGGGTGATTCTTGAAAATTAATTTAACCGAGCACTTATGATCGGCGTGATTGTTTCATATGTACCGTAATTAAGTACCGAAATTTTAGCAACATGTGTTCGGCTAAAAATAACCTGAGGAAGAAACGTACGGTGTAAAGTAGAGTCCGCCAAATAGTGAACAATAGTCACTATTTGGCGGACTCTACTTTACGTTATTTATATTACCCGTATTCAGAGAAAGTGCACCAGCTCGGATATTATGAAGTCTATCAGGTTATTCGTGGTCAAATAAAGTGATGGTAAACTTTTGGTGCGACTTTGTAACGGATCTGAACTGATAATGAGCATTCAGTTTTTGTTTCAGGGACATACTGGAAATTACACAACGGCGGAAGAACCAAGAAGAAAAAGACAAGATGAAAGCAAGCCAAATCACGTCCTCTTGTTCACCATTATCAACCCCATGTATCCAATCACCGTGGTAAGTGTAAAATGCATACGATTTTACTCATTTTTCTGCTGATAAGAATCCTCGCTTTTACGATCTCGCGTCGTCTAAATCCAGCCACTTATCTCGTATGCTAAAGCAAACACTTTTTTATTGCGGTGGATATCTTTACGTTACTAAACTACTGATAATAGTTTATTCGGTGCTTTATTGTGGCTACTGTAACGTGTCGCTGATAGGTTCGGCAAATAATGCAATAACCTACGGATTCCGAATGTTTTTGATCTGTAATCGTTATCGCGATGATTTTGTTTTCAAATCTTTGCTTCGTATTTTGTTTTGAAAGTATGAGAAGGAGTAACTCAGACTCAGTCCGGAGTGAAATCCGGGCGGAACGATGTGGAATTTTCTTTTAAAAATATATGGAGATAACATCGATCTCTGGTAGAACGTGCGATGCACAGGGGCTTTTATAATGCATCTCGCGTTTGTGGATCAAACATCTCATAAAGTGTGGTTTTGCGAGATGTTTGCTTGTGTGGATATTTTGTAACGTTGTAAATTGCGGCGGATGGAGAAAATATTTTAATCCGTACATGTAAAGTGCTGCGGATCTTTTGCAAGGCCCGAGGTTGATTAACACTACGCGGAAATTTATCTTACGGATGCAATTCCCCAGTTGAAGCAAGGTGTGTTTTACGGCGAGTAGCGGGGACTCTTTGATCTGGTCCACAAGGTCGTAGCCAGTGCGTCTCTACGAGTGTTTACAGCTAGTAAAAAAACTACTTCTATATTACTATATTACTTCAAATAATAATACTCGGTGCCCTTATTAATTTTTCAAGCACAGGACACAGATTTATGATCTTGAAATGTTATATTATGTTGATATAGTCCAAAAGAAAAATATATTTGTAATCAAAGTATCGACGCGGCAGCACTGGATCAAGAATCTGAGACATTATTCCGCCCGTTGTTGATTAAACATAATGGTCGAAGGTTATTTCGCAAGAACTTTTAAAGTATAATAATTGAAACATCGAAATATCAATAAATTTAGAAATTGAGGAATCAAAAATTTTTTAATTTTTTTTAACAGTTGGATTGAAAAAACCAGAAACTGACAAATTTCCAAAATTGAAATGTTAAAAAATTGGGAAATCGAAAACTTGAAAAATGGGGAAATCTAAAGTTCGAAACGTCAAAAAATTTTAATAACAATCAGAAACCGCAAAGAAATCGAATAAAACAATCGAAACATTGAAAATCAAAAAACTTTAATGCAAAAATTTAAAAATTCAAAAAATTGATAAAGAGAAATATTGAACAAATGAAAAATCGAAACAACAAAAAATCGGAACATCGAAACATCTAAAATTGAAAAATCGAAAAACCCAGAAATCGAAAAATCTAAAATTTCAAAAAAATCGAAAAATTGGAAAATCGAAAAGCTGAAAAGTTGAAAAATCGAAAAAGGGAAAAATTGAAAAACCGAAAAATCTAAAATCGAGAAATCGAAAGATCAGAAAACTGAAAAATTTAAAATTTAAAAATCAAGAAATTGGGAGATCGAAAATTTAAAAAAGTCAAAAATTGAAAAATCAAAAAATTGAAAAATCGAAGAATCGAAAAATTGAAAAATCGTGAAACTGAGAAATCGAAAAAAAAATCGAGAAGCGAAAATTTGAGGTATCTAGAAATTCGACAAATTAAAAATTGAAACATCGAAATATTAATAAATCGAGAAATTGAGAAAATCAAAAAAATTTTGAATTCCTTTAAAAATAGGTAAACTGAAACATCCAGAAATTGAGAAATTTCCAAAATTGAAATGTTGAAAAATTGGAAAATCGAAAACTTGAAAAATGGGGAAATCTAAAGTTCCAAATGTCGAAAAATTTTAATAACAATCAGAAAACCGCAAAGAAATGGAATAAAACAATCGAAAAATTGAAAATCAAAAAAACTTAAATTCAAAAATTTTAAATTCAAAAAATTGATAAAGAGAAATATTGAACAAATGAAAAATCGAAACAACAAAAAATCAGAACATCAAAACATCTAAAATTGAGAGAAATTGAGAAAATCAAAAAAAATTTAAATTTATTTAAAAATAGGTAAACTGAAACATCCAGAAATTGAGAAATTTCCAAAATTGAAATTTTGAAATATTAAAAAATCGAAAACTTGAAAAATCGGGAAATCTAAAAATCGAAAAGTCGAATAATTTTAAAAACACAAAAAAACTGAAAACCAAAAATTTAAAAATTTGATAAATTGGAAATCAGAAATATCGAAGAACTGAAAAATCGAAGAAATGAAAAATCGAAACAACAAAAAATCAAAAGATTAAAAACTCTAAAAACCGAGAAATCGAAAAATCCTACATTAAAAAAATTCGAATAATCGGAAAATTAATTCGAAAAATTTTAAAATCGACAAATTGAAAAATTCTGTAACTGAAATGACGAAAACCTGGTAAGTCGAAAAATTGAAAAATCGGAACTTTTAAAGAAAAGAAAAATTGGAAAATCGAAAAGCTGAAAAGTCGAAAAATGAAAAAAATCGAAAAATTAAAAAACTGAAACATCGAGAAATCGATCATCAAAAGATCGAAAAGTCGAGAAATCAAGAATTTTTAAAATCTAAACGTCAGAAAACTGAAAAATCTAAAATTTAAAAATTCGAAAAATTGCAAAATAGAATTGTCGAAGAATCGAAAAATCGATAAAAACGAAAAAGTTGAAATTTTAAAATTGAAACGTCGAAAATATAAAAAATTGAAAAATTGAGAAATAGAAAAGTCGAAAAATTTTAAAAACGACAAAACTGATATGTCAAAAAATCGAATAAAAAATCTAAAAATGGAAAATCAAAAAACTGAAAATCAAAAATTCCAAAAATTGAAAAACAGAAAAATCGAAGGATTGAAAAATCGAATAATCCAAATTTTTAAAAATCGAATAATTGAAAAATCGGAAAATGAAATCTAAAACTTAAAAATCGAGGAATTGAAAAATCGAAACTTCGAAAATCTACAAAATTGAAACGCTGAAAAGTCGCAAAATCGAAACACGGATAAATCGAAAAATTGAAAAACTGAAACATCGAAAAATTAAAAAATTGAAAAACTGAAAAATTGAGAAGCATAAAAGTCGAAAAATGGAAGTCCAAAACTAGAAAATTTAGAAAGTAGAACAATGGAATATTAAAAAAACTGAAAATCGAAAAGTCCAGGAATCTAAACGTCGAAAATCGAGAAATCGAAAAGTCAAACAATCAAGAAATTGACAAATCGAACACTTAGAAAAGTAAAAAATTGAGGAATCGGGAAAATGAAAAATCGAGGAATCGATACATCAAAAAATTCTAAAATGTAACAAACGAAAAAGTCAAAAATCAAAAAATTGAAAAATTGAAGAATCGGAAAGTGAAAAAACCATAAGTAGAATATCGAAAATTTGAAAACGCGAGAAATGGAAAAGGCGGAAAATCCAAAGAAAAAAAAACTATAAATTGAGAGTGAAAAAAATTGAAAAATCGAACATCAAAGAATTGAAAAACTGAAAAATCAAGAAGTCTAGAAATCAAAAATTCGAAAAATTGAAAAAATCCATTAATTGAGAAATTGCGGAAAGTCGTAAATTTAGAAACGTCAAAAATTGACCAATCAAAAATTTGAAAATGTTAAAGATTGAAAAATCGAAAAATTGAAGAAATGAAAAATTGAAAAATCGTTAAATTGAGATTGCGGAAAAATGAGAAATCGAAAAATGAAAAAAATCGATAAAGCGGAAATTTGAAGAATCGAGAAACTGAAGAATTTCTATACTGAAATATATCGAAAAATTGGAAAATTGAAGAATCAAAAAACTGGAAAATCCCAAAACTGAAACGTCAAAAACTGAACAATCGAAAAATTGAAGAAACACAAAAAATTGAAAAGTCATTAAATTTAAAGATTGGAAAATGGGGAAATCAAAAAATGAAAAAAATCAATAAAGCGGAAATTTGAAGAATGAAGAAACTGAATCAAAAAATTGAAAAATCGAAATGTCAAAATATCAAAAAAATCGAAAAGTTAAAAAATTTAAATTTGAAAAATCGAAAAGTGAAGAATTCCTAAACTGAAGTATCGAAAAATTGAAAAATCGAAGAACCGAAGAATTGAAAAATCGAAAATTCGAAGATTCGAAAAATTGAAAAATTCCAAAACTGAAACATTGAAGATTGAGAAACTGAAAACTGGAAAAATCGATTAATCCAAAAATTTGGAAATCGAAAAATCGAAAATTTAGGAACGTCAAAAATTGAAAAATTGAAAAATGTACAAATCGAGAAATCGAAAACTTTGAAAAGTCGAGAAATTGAAGAATTGGGAGATCCCAACGCTGAAATTGATTGAGTAATCGAAAAAAAGAAAATCGACTAACTGAAAAATCCAAAAATTGGAAAACCGAATAACGGAAAAATCCTGACATTGAAATATCGAAAAATTGAGAAATTAAAAGTTGAAATATCGAGAAAATTCGAAAAATCGAGAAATCGAAAAATTGTTATATGTATCTAGAATTAAAATTCAACACGGATTTATAAACTACAAGTTTAGGATTATGTATTTTAACATTTATTACACAAAATTGTAAGATGACATCATCAATTCGGTGGTGGGGAGAATGAATGGTTTTTATTAACATATATTATTGTAAAATTTGGAGATGACGTCATTCAATTGTTGGTGGGAATGAGCAGACAAATTTTGCTTAACATTTTACCATCTATTTGATAATCCTAACATATATGAAAAAAAAGAAACGTCGAATTAGTTGCACCGCAGTTTAGATATGCCTCCTCTTCTCTCTCTTTCTCATTAATTAAAAACAAAAGCGTTAAATATTCAATCACATAAATAAAATTCGTAATTAGACATTTTTTTTTAATTAAAAAATTATATCACAGTTGGAAAATGTGGATCTTGTTCACCAAACAAAAATTCGTCAGCGCAATTCATTAATACTTTTCATTTTGTTCCG